AGCATCCTGCATTTGATTTGCTGATGGCAATGTACAGTCTGATGCCAATGTACACTACTGCCTAAAGTGTTCATACATGTGCAAAATATCTACAGAGAAAAATCCTTATCCTCCACTGCTGACGTTTAAAGTCAGAACTCAGCTTTCATATAAACTGCTAAAATTGAAAGATGTGATCATTATAAGGTCACAGTAGTTTCTGTATTTCTGTCCTCTGAATGATATAGGCTGTAGCATGTGCATTGCTAGAACAGGACACTGGGGAAGGTGCCATTGATACCCTTCTTGGTGATCCAGGTCAGCAATGCCCACACTTTACATTTATGTAGGAGTCCATGTAATGCAGCAGGTTGCAGGGACGTACGGTCAGGGGAAGCAGGTGAGGCTGAGCCTCACCTAGAATTATGGAGCTTTTTCTCCATCGGCTTCTATCAGGTTACACAGCAGGGAAATCCTCCCCGCTGTGTAACCTGTCATGGACGGAGCGCTGCCTGTTAATTACAGGTGGCGTTGCATACGGCATTTGACAGGTAGTTACGTTACACAGCAGCGGGCTTCCCCACTGCTTGTGTAACTTAACTATTGAAGCCAGAGCTGTCACAGCCTCTACTCTTTGTTAGAGGCGTGAGCTCTGTGAATGGCTTGCACCAATGGCAAAGCGCCATTTGTCCAAGCTGTCCAATCAAAAAAAGAAAACACTGAGGCCAACGATATCGATGCCTCAGCAGTGACGAGCAAGTGAGGGACAGGGAGGCTCCTCCCTGTCTCCTCCCTTCCTCATTTACACTAGTTTGGGAACGGGTTGGGAATGGGGCATCGTCTGGAGGGGGTGGGATTTCGTCTGGCGGGGGGCAGGGCTTCGCAACTTTCATCACACATTTTAATTAATATACACTTATTTGTTTATTTTGGTACGGCGTTGCATGACTGAATAAATGTCAGTCAAAATTCAACAGCAATGAATACTGAGAAATGGCATAGACAGGAAGGGGGTTTAAAACCCTGGTCTTCAAGTGGTTAATGATTACCCTTGGTGTTTAGCAGTTGGAAGCATGGTGACACTTTTATTTTGGTTTTGTTACACTAAGGAAAGGTTAGGAAAAGGTTAGAGCTTTTGTGAGGTTTTAGTTGTGTCAATATTGGATCAGAACAACAAGTGATGGGAAATTGCTTCAATTGAGACACTGACAAAAAAATAATGTTTTCTTGCTGTCAGTGCATTGTGTTTGTGATGATGTTACTTGTGTGGAAGTCACATGTACAGGAAGTGAAGGAAAATATCCCCAATGGGGTCCCATGTAGTAATACAACCTGACACAAATGTAAACACTTCTCCACTCTATCCAAAACAAACAATATGGCTGAAGTTAGGCTTTAATGGTCTTGGCTTTCAGTAATGGGATTGTGAATTCTATGCTCACCATAGCCACAATCTGTAGAAATGCAATATACACTTTTTGGGTTTGTGTTGGTTTCCTCCCCAATCCAAAAATCTACTTAACTGGCTTCCACCTAAATTGGCCCTACTATACATGACTGTAAGATCCATTAGACTCTTTAATCACTATCAAACTGAGCAAAATAAATAAGCCAATGTTTGGCCCTATAAACCACATTACTGTATACAGTTAAGTCTGGAAATAATTGGACACTGTCACAAGTTTTTTTATTGTGGCTGTTTACCAAAATAAATTCAAATAAAGAATCTGGGCTTAAAGTGCAGTCCCTCAGCTTTAAGTTGAGGGTATGCACACACATATCGGAGGAAGGGTTAAGGAATGACAGCTTTTTTTTTAGCCCCCTCTTTTTTAAGGGCCCAACAGTAATTGGACCATTGACTCAAAAGCTGTTTCATGGACAGATGTGGGTTATACCTTCGTTATTTCATCATCAATTAAGCAGGTTTAAGGTCTGGAGTTGATTCCAGGTGTAGCATTCACATTTGGAAGCTGTTGCTGTGAACCCACAACATGTGTTCAGAAGAGCTCTCAATGGAAATGAAACAGGCCATCCTTATGTTGCAAAAATTAAATCCATCAGAGAGATAACAGGAACATTAAAAGTGGCCATTTCAACATTTTAGTACATGATATAAAAAAAAGAACGTGCTACTGAGCTCTTCAACACAAAAAGGCATGGACGTCCACAGAAAACAACAGCAGTGGATGATTGTAGGATCCTTTCCATGGTAAAGAAAAACCCCTTCACAACATCCAGCCAAGTAAAGAACACTCTTCAGGAGGTAGGCATATCAACCAAGTCTACCTTATCTCTATAGGTTGAACTCGATGGACTTCTGTCTATTTTCAACCTGACTAACTATGTAACTATGTACCAAAAACAGAAGACTTTGTGAGAGCAAATACAGAGGATTCACCACAAAGTGCAAATCATTTATAAGCCTTAAGAATAGAAAGGCCAGATTAAAACTTCCCCCCCAAAAATTAAAAAAGCCAACCCAGTTTTGGAACAGCATTCTTTGGACAGATGCGACTAAGATCAACAGAGTGATGGGAAGAAAAAAGTGTGGAGAAGGCTTAAAAGCTTTACAGTGCCCCACAGTGACCACACCCCTCAGTAACCACATCCCTCAGTAACCACATCCATTTTTTCCAATATCCGCACCATTTAAAGACTCCTATTTTGTTAAGCCCCAAAGAAACATATTAAAAAGTATAATAAAAATAAACATTTTATTCAAAGGTATTAAACTTGTAAGCACAATATAAGTATTCTTATTACATAAAACAACTGTAGGCAAACAAGTGGTAAACAATAAATGTTAAACTAAAATAGAGTCTATAAAAATAATGTGTCAGGTTGTCATGCAGACCCTTTTTTCAAGTAAGTGTATCTAGAAAAGTAAAAATTAAAATCGAACACAAAACCTAGACTACATGTTAAATTAATGAATTACTATATGTCCGAATATACGAAAATGTATTCAGGCAGATAATAATTTGTTTGAGAATGTGCGGCGGCCATGTTGGCCACTGGTGTGTTCTGCAAATGCGTGCCATCTTGGAGGCGAGGAGCATAACGTCACATGATGCCATACAGGTGCCGCCATCTTGGTGTATACCTAGGTATACACCAAGATGGTGGCGCCCAACACATGCGGCGTTATATGACGTCATGCGCCCTGCCTCCAGAACACACCAGTGGCTGAATCCAAAATAGCATACAAATTTGTTTTGTTTGATGAAACAAATGAAAACATTTTTAGTTTTAGTTCATTTCATCTGAAATTAATTTTTAGTCTTTGCACATGCCTAATAATACGTGTGTGTGTGTGTGTGTGTGTGTGTGTGTGTGTGTGTGGTGGTGTAATTTTCACTTTTTTTAAATAATTTTGTTTAATTTTTTATAATTCTGTTTATTATTTATTTATTTATTTTTTCCACAGTTGGGAGGCTTTGGGGAAATATTAGGGGTCTAAACAGATCCCTGACATTTACCTTTTAAAATAGAAAAGAAATTGAGGACACAAAGTCCTCAATCTCTTTTTCAGCATCCTCTGTTCTAAATTAATGGAAAGTACTCAGTGCAGAGGCTTCCCATTCATTCAGAAACTGGTGATAGTAAAACATTTACTATCACCAGTTTCTGAATGGTGAGGGCCTCTATACTGAGTGCTACTCCCCATTCAGAAATTCATGAATCAACAGGAAGTGACGTAAATTACATCCTGTTCATTCATAACTGGGGACACATACTACTATATGCCCCAGTTATTTACAAACACTGGAGTGATCAGCTGATCACTCCAGTGTTTATGCTGCACAGAGGATTGGTAAATATCAATGATATCTCCCGATCCTCTGCTCAGCCACGCACAGAGCCGCTGTCATCCGGAAACTGACAGTATGATAGCGACTCCTCTCTCTTCACCGCTCGGCCATCCTGACAGCAGGCAGCAACGCCCCCCCCCCCCCCCCCCCCCCCCGCGCGCTGCCAGC